AGAAACATACAAGATCCAGATTTTGTTAAGGACTGGTATTTTAAATACATTTCTAATAAAGACCCAGGCAGAGTCTCTTGGCCCAGACACACCAAACTGACACCAAATTCCCGACGGACTGGAACACACCGCAAAGACTTCAGCCGACAGCCAATAAGCATGTACGAACTGCGCATGCGGGAGTTGCAATAACTCTCCTTACCAGCAGGTGGCGGTAGTGTGTATTCGTCATTCAAAAGAGGCAACAACCGGAAGACAGACTGCGTGATAACCGAGAGAAGAAGAACAGACTGCGTGATATAAACAAACAACAAATAGCGTGTGCGTTGGTCTTCGGTTTCTTCATTCCAGATCGCTATATTGAAAAATAAACTCTTGCGTCCAGCTGAGATGAAAATGAAAAAGAATAGCCGTCTGTGTGTGCCTTCTTAATCGTTTGTTTGGGTCCCTCACTTCCGTTTCGCTTCTCATGCACTGATTCGCTAGCTGAACAGCCAATCGGAGTGATTTATTCGTTTTCGGCCAAAAAGGTGTCGGCACGGCCAAAAAGACACGTAGGGCGACACAACGCTCATTGACGGCCAGACATCTATCGACGGCCAAAATCGGCCCGGTGTGTCTGGGCCTTTAGTTCCCCACGCTGTCTCAAAAGTGGGCCATGAACGAAGGCATGGGAAAGGAGAAGAGAGGAGGTGGAGAAAACTGAGCGAGTGAAATTGCCAAAGGAGGAAGAGGAGGTGTGTGTGTGTAGGAGAGGCTGAGGAGGATTTATTTGTACCTTTCTGTCAGAGTAGCCCCACTTTCTAATTAACTGCAAATTAACTTTTGATAAGCTGAGGTCGGGTGGCAAAGTGCCACGGCTACAGAGATAGACTCGGTTGGCCCTCCCTTTCTTCCCTCTATTAGACTTTCTCTCAGGGGCCCTGGCCTCCGAGGGTCCACTGATTCACCATTGAGCCTCCTAGGGTCACCATGTGTTTCCAGAACCATCACATCAGAGATGGGTCAGACTAAATCTGGAGCCTCTAGAAAGCTGCTGTTCTCGGTTCCACATGGAGTCATTCTAGGACAGGGGTGGGGAACCTCCGGCCCCCGGGCCGTATACGGCCCGCGAGACCATTTGGTATGGCCCTCGAGGTAATTTTTTTTTTTTTTTAAAGAAATCTAGACCGCAAAATAATTAAACAAGCGAGTGCCTGTTTTTCCTGGCAACGGTCATGGTCCTTGAACACAACACAAAGCCTAACGTGTCATCACGTGGTATATGTCTCGTCTGACATGGGTGTAGTTCTGCCGGAGAGCACCAGAACGCGGCTCCGGCACTTCACAAATGTCAGTAGCCATAAGGAGCCGTACACATGCCACAGTTTTTGCGTGGCTGTGTTTTAGTTGAAAGCCCAGTGGCGATCTGTTCATCTGTCATACTGATCATACAGTCAATAACTTTGTTGTTATTAGCATCTGGTTAGCTAGCTATGCTAACGAATATAAGAAGCTTTTTCTCCAACCAGTGAGGCAAAGGCACATCTTTATATCATCATTATAGTTATAAAAAAATAAGAGAATAAAGTAAACGGGTATAAAATACTATATGACAGTAACAAAAAGTTGTTATTAATAAAGAAGAATACAGTTTGAAAGGGGAGTGATTTGTAAAATATCCATAAAGAAAAAGTAAATCTGCTTACAGTTCTGTTTCATATGGGTGTTGAGAGATGTATCCATAGATCTATTAATTTTGCTCTCAAAGTGCACCAGATTGATGCTTTCAACTTCCCAGAGCATGCCCCCCCGGACCCCCCTAGAGGAGGTTAGGTCCCCCCCACTTATATCATGTCCACATGGATAGGAAACTAAATACATTTGCACACATCTTGTGTCCATATCTTTCTGTTTGGTGGTCATGCCACAACCATGCATGCGCGAGTCATGGTGAGATATCTGGATTAAGAGGTTGCTTTTTCTTTGCACAGCATGAAAGAAAGGCCAAACGAATGGGCTGTGATTTTTAAGCAGAGGTCAATAATTTGTACGGCCCTCGGAGGATGTTGAAAAAATTGAAATGGCCCTTGAGAGGAAAAAGGTTCCCCACCCCTGGTCTAGGACATGTATTCCCCAGATGAGACACTCAGAAACGTGTTTTGTAAAACTGTCAACAGTATTGTTTTACTGCCTCTCTTTTCCACGGGAACTCCTCCGTCAAGTTGGTGTCGGCTGAGTTCCTTCACTTGTGCACCTGAAGGGAGATTTTCAAAGATGAAATTCATTTGGGTTCTGGCACTGGGCTCCCACTCTTCTGTGGATAGGTCAAACTCAAGTTGCAGAGATATATTTTAAATAAGATTTACATACGTGACCCCAATTTGGGAAATGTTTTGCGTCACAGCAGCATGTAAACAAGGCATTGCACATCATGTGAAAATGAAAAAGAGTAGAAAATGAACAAACATAAAATATAAGCATCTCAACATAAATAAGATAAAACACAACTAAAAACAACGATAGATATCTGAAAACAATCCGTCAATGTAGGGCCAATTTACAGTTAACATCATTTAAAAGTAGGATATTATTTACATTGAATGTGCAAGAAATAGACACACTATCTACAGATGCACATGCACACACCAAACAGTAATAACGATCAGTCAATGTAAACGTATGAGTGTATTTGAGCATTTACAGTTGTAGAATGGTCAGGTATTAACTCTTGGGCAACCATTGTGATACTCTGGCTGCTTGTCTCTGGCACCCTCTTTTTGTCTTCCTCCATCCATGTGACTAATGACAAGGTCCAGTGCTTATGTCCTTATATAGCCCTATGCTCTGACTGACACACACACACACACACACACACACACACACACACACACACACACACACACACACACACACACACACACACACACACACACACACACGCGCGTAGGTGCCCCTGGTAATATCAAGGTTTATCAGGGACAAGATGTTGAACGCATTAATGAATGTGTTTGTATATCTTTGAGAGTTCAGAAGCTCTATTTCTGACATTATTCCTACCTTGATGATGCATGAATAGGGGGGGGATTACACTCAAAATAACAATGTCAACTGTTGTGTTCTCTTTGGCAACACCTGTTGCATGACGCAGTGTTTGCTGGGAAGGTTTTTGGATCTCAATTCCCAGAGATCCAAACAGTGTCGGGAATACCCAGGAACGTTTCCACAAACACACAGTTTGTAATACTGGAAATGTAAGGGCTTACGTCACGTGGCCATCGGCTCAGTAACAATTGTGTTGCCACATTTGGTGTTAGATAATTACTAATTTAAGTGGAAATATCTCAACATTATTTCTTTAGTTAGGATTGGGACGTGCATATCTCAATATTTGACCTTTTTATGAATATAATTGAGCGTGACGACTGATCCGACAAAATCCGTTTCAGTTTGGGTCAGCTGGTGTGAAAGGCACCAACATCATATAGTGAGATAAAAAGGTTCTAAGCTAAAGCCTTTACTTGTCTCCTAATTATCTATGTTTTTATTTGTTTTATAATCAGACCTCGAGAGACACAAACCAGTAAATGCACAGCTTTATCTGAAGTTAGCTTTTCTCAAGAATCTCTTCCAAGCTGAGCTTTTTTCCTTTTTTGGCCCTTTCAGCAGGCATCGCACTAAATATAAACACAGCGCAACTTTCTGTTAACTTGCATGTTTGTTTGAGTACAAAACTGGATTTGCAGTGGTCGTCTGTCTTCGGATTTAGTTGCTCAGTCTTGAGGTTTATGCTTCCTATACCAAAATGAATGCAGCTTGTCTAATGTACCGATGTAAAGTGTACTATTCCTGAGGTTTCTCCCAAGCTTTTGGGTCGGTGAGCACAACACATAATCAGAAAGGCAATGAGGTGTGCCGTGATGCCATTCAAGGATAATCCCTTGTGTATTCTTAATATAGACTCCATCACACACACTCACACACAAACACACACTCGGCAGTGCTGTTCATCAGACCTAGTTATCGACATAGGGAGATCTCTCCTTAAATGGTATACTGCCCAGGGCCCTGTCTCTGTTTCCAGTGCACAAACCAAATTGAGTCCAGGTCTGGGAAAAACCTTTTAAAGTGTAGGAGACAGAAAGAGATGGGATACAGACAGAGCAGAAGAACGTGAGAGAAAGAGAAATGGCAAGAGGCTTGACGATGCCTTGTAGAATATTATACGTGAGTCTTGACCCTGAGAAGAATATGCTGTAGTATTACAGTAATACTGTCAGTATATGCAAAGAAAACTACAATGGCACTCGACTAGCAGAATTCCGCCAAGGCCAATCATGCATCCACGTGATTACATACCCCCCTAGATAGTTACAATGGCAGTTGTATACATTTTTCCCATTCCCACGTACCAATATGTTGTTGATTAAAGGGGCGCTATTATGCTCATTTTCAGCTTCATATCAGTATGTAGTGTCTCTCCTGTGACATGTCTCCATGCTTTAATGTTCAAAAAGCTCTTTTTCTCATACTGCCTGTGCTGCAGCACCTCTTTTCACCCTCTGTCTGAGACCAGAGCCCAGTCTGCTCTGATTGGTTAGCTGGCTGGCTCTGTTGTGATTGGTCAACCGCTTGTAGATGTCCAGGTCCTTAGCCTATCACGTACAATGTGTTGCAGCGCTTGCTAATAGAAGCACGTGTTTTACGTAGTGAGGTCACTTTGCCTCGGAAGTAAACTGAAGGGGCCAATGGAGGCGTTTCAGACCGAGGGGGGGGGGGGGCAGTGTGTCGGAGAGATACTCGCTCTGGAGGGAATGCAAGGATTTTTGCCTTTGCAGACCCGTACAAAAACCTAAAGAAAACACTAAACTAGAAGAAACAGCCCAACAATGATAACATGGCCTCTTCAAAAGAAACAACACATGTTTTTAGGAGAACATTTGTCCGTTAAATGTCAATGATGTTGCAAGAATATACTCCAAACAATGTCACTAAATTCTGTTCTTCTTTTCTCTTTGCAGCCGGAAAATCTACAGAAAACATGGCTGAGGGAGTTTTACCAGGTACGTGATACAGTTCCCAGCTAACGTATGCAATCATGTTAGTGCAACAAGTTGCATATTACTGCATGGAGTCTTTTAAACTGACTTACTGGCAGCTCACCTGCTGATCTCGTGATATTCCACATGGCCAGTTTACTGCTGCTGCAATGTAAAACTCCATTTTCTTCCTTTACAGTAACATACTGTAGGCCGAAGGTACACAGCTTTATGTACTTTCACCACACTCCAACTTTTACCATTGCACCAAATGTTATTAGACTTGCGACCTACTCATTTCCTTATTTGTATATGTTTTTCACAGTGGATGTAGTATAGGCCCCAGCCTGACACTTGTTTCTATAGCGTTGTCATGAGACTGTGACCACAAACCCCTAAGTCTAGTCCACATGATCTTCAGTTGGAGATCTTTAAACTAAGCTGAAACATCTTTCCTGCACAGAGAACATTTCAATATTTCTGCAGTATTTTGAGCAAAAGCTTCCAAGTCCCTTTCATAAATATATATGTATGTTCACTTATACCTTTTTATAATTCAGTTTGGGAGACTTCAAAATCAATTATTGGAGACTTATCGCTGGGATCTTTTCACCTCATGTTCACCCCAGTTATTGCATTGGATCTTTTTCAGAAAAGCAAAAGCTAGAGCTCAGTCATGTTTCATATCTGACTGTTTGATCTACATAGGAACCCCTGACTAACCACAACTCTTTCCACTGGGGTAAGGGAAGTGATGCAGCTACAACTCTCAACTGCTGTCTGAACGTGACAGACAGATACAGGAGTAACGCAGTTTAACTATGATAACCAATCCTTTTTTTGTAGTTGTATATTCCATACAACTGCATCCAAAATACATTCTGTGTCAATTGCCACTTCCAGATGGCTCATTTGTACATCACATTACATTACTTTTATCCAAAGCGACTTACACACACTTTAATACTGTAGACATGCCTGCATGAGCAATTTGGGGTTAAGAATCTCGCTCAAGGACACTTCTACTTGTTTGCTTCTAGCATCAAACCAGTGACCCTCTGTTTGTTAGCTTGAATGTATTCATGACTAAGAAATACAGTATGTATTTATATAATCCTGTTTGTTTTGTTGTTTAAATATTTGTTCAAAATTCCCCTTAACAAAACAAATAAATGAGTGCCCCTAATAGGAATACCATGATTCCACAAGGGGTGGGACATTGCTTACCGATACTGGTAGTAATGCAGATCAAAGTAGCTTTTTTGCTTAATCAGGCAGACCAGAAATGAGGCATTAGGGCCAAATTAAAGAAAGAAAGCTAATGTTAGCTAGCATCCCCCCTTTTGTGCAATGTTGGGTGAACACAATACTGTGTGACGCGGAGTTGCTAATGACTATTCAAATATTATGAACATGAAGTAGCTCCTAGTGTGAATCAATGCTAATGTTAGCAAGCTAAACTATACAACATCAACAGGAAACTAGTTTGCCTTACTTAGCCAGCCACTACTTTCCAAGTGTAATATAATCTCAATAGCATGTTTGTGCCTGTCCCATCTTAAATGTTGTATTCAATTACAAAGGTGTAAAAGTGAATGCTATGTGTAGTTTTCTCTACACGACCATTTCAGCATAATATATATGATATGTTTTATAATGATTGATCATTAAAGTGTTCTCAAAGCTGGTGAAGGTGCAGCTAGTTTGAATGACTTCTGATTTAAGAGTTGATTATATTTCACATCATTAATCCACATCTGTAAAGTAACTAAAGGTATTAAATATATGTAGTGGAGGAAAAGTACACCATTTATCTCTGAATTGTTGTGGGGTAGAAGTACACATTTGCTAAACAATTGAAATACTTAAGTAAAGTACAAGTACCTCAACATTGTACTTACGTTTAGTACTTGAGTACATGTACTTTAGTTACTCTACACCACTGCAAGTGAGAAACAAGTCAGTGGGAAGAGGTCAACGTGTTGTTAGGAGGTGCGTTTTCACTCAAAACCAGGAAGTAGTGTAACTAGCATTAGTTTCCAGTTGCAGCTTTATTGTGAAGAAGTATCCTGCATGTGACCAAGACACATTTTCTATTATTCAAACATCCTTAAACGGGAGCTTTTTGAAAGTCTTTAAAAGTGAAAGTAAAACGTTAAAATTCAGAGGACTCTATGAAGGGCATAGTCAAACAGGGATTATGGGGTTACTTTAAAAATGTTTTATCCATATGCGGTATACGCTGCCAAGTTTGTGGGTTCTTTCTTGGCATCTCCAATAAAGGCACACAGTTCTGCCCTCCATTTGGCACAAAGGTATTACAATATTTTACCTTGGAGCAGTAGTAGTAGTAGTAGTACCCATGCAAATCACATTTAATTAACCTAAAAGGTCAAATGATCTTCATGAACTGGAAACAATTTTCTCTAACTTGAGAAGCTTGCATGACACTTATGTTGTGAAGTTATATAATGTTTTTGCAAATGTATACATACTTTATAGATCTAAATGCCAAAGCTCCCCACAGAAGTGAAAAACATATTGAGCAGCGTAAATCCTACAGAGGAGCTGTCTGCCAGCTTTTTGTGTTCTTGTTAGCTCTTAATGGTCCTACTTGTTTCCAAGTGACACATATACATTTACATATGATGTTCACTTAATTCTCCCAAGGAGCTGATTCTTTGACCGATTCTGTTTAGACTTAGTGACCTGAGTGGGAACTAGCTGGAAAAGTGGTTTGTTCAGAGCAATATGTAAACCAAATACAACAACATCTCCAACGCTGCTTGGAAAAATACACAATCGTAATTACTATTCCCAGGAAGCCCGGGTTATTGGTTGAGAAATATTCCAGACTCACCCTGAACACACACAATGTCTTCATTCTATTTAGCCTCAAGCATATACAAGTGTGTGTGCTTTTGGTCAACTATTTGAATAATGTTGCAGGATCTAATTATGTATACTGCTAGCCTAAAGGGATAGTAGTCTGGTTATGTATGAGGCTGTTTAAAACCTGCAACAATACGTGTCAGTGTAGTACATGTCAAATCCTTTGAACGACTCACGAGGCGTTTGAGATCTGCAGTCAAATGATTTGTCTGTGATGGATTGCCTCATGTGGCAGTCATGGATTTTTCTCTTATGAATTCAATACATCCCATATTGAATACATGTGATTCATACTAATAACTAGGAAGTCAATTCTGGATACATCATTAGTTTGAATGGTTATTATCAGACCAATATGTTTCACTAAATGCCTTTTTGTGTCAACTAAAACCAACAGCACTTATGTTACTAATTGCTGAAACATACTGTGGCGTGTCTCGTGACTTTACATTTCTTTGACTACAAAAAGTAAATGTAGCCTATAGTTTGTGTACAGTAGGATTTACAGGCAACCAATCAGGGGTCTTACATGATCCTGCTTATGTAGTTCTGTAATACTGTCTGTACTGCTGAGGCCCAAAGCAATATTTAGATATCACTAACCAGTAAAGAGACAAAGTAGCAGTCATGTACTGTGCTGAAGTGCACTTTTGATGCACTTCAACTTACTAAAGTATTTCTATTTCCTGTTACTTCAGACTTCTACTCAAATCAGAGTTAAAAGTACTCTTTTTCGGCACTACTTTTATATAATAGCATTGGTTTCTTTGAAGATTCAGATTATTGATATGATATTTCTTTATCAACTAGTTTCTCGTGTATAATTAGTTATAAGTTAGGTTATGAATTTTTGGGTGAAATTCAAAAGCTACCCTGCAGTATATAAAAGAAGCTGAACAAGCGCTTTTAACAGCTGCATAATTAAAATGATGCAAAACATGAATGCATCAAACATGTTCTGAAATATGTCCTTGTGCAGAATATTGACTGTTTCTCTATAAAATATGTTGATGCCAATGCTTTAGTTCAAATAATAGTTGTAATCCTGGACTCTTACTTATGGATACTTCTACGCTGTTGAATTCATACTTAGTATAATAAAGATCTTAGTACTTTGTCCAGCACTGCAGCTACACAGTGTATTTACATTAAGTTCCACCAAGTTGAAATGTTACTACAGCTATTCTGCATCATTTTGAAAGACTAAAAAAAACCTTTGGACATATTTGAAGAAATGTTGTCTTAGCTCCGAGCCTCTTGGTGGGTGTTGACTTAGGGCGGGTTCCCACATAAAGGTCCGGTTTCTAAATCGGACCAATGTGAGATTGATACATTGCTTTTCCAACCGGTCCGGTTTGCTTTTCCAACATGGTACGCTTCCTGTGATTGGTTCGAATGGTGTTAACACCAGAAATGAACCACCCAAAGGTCAGTTCAAAGCGGTCCCAGAACAGCCCTCTCAGGAGGAACACAGAGCCGCTCTTTGGTCCACACCAGAGTTCCAGTTTGGCATTTACTACCCCAAACAAGCCCCAGCTCTGTTCACCTGGACTGAAACTGAGGCTGGTGTGAACACAACTTTATAGGATGGTGATGCTAGGAGATCCGCTCTGCTACTGACCAGAGAACGTATTGACCATGTCTATTATACAAGAACCAGCGATTAGTAACGTCAGAGTAGCCTGCATCAGAGAGTGAAAGTTAGTCTACTGTCCCAATGTTAGCAATGATTCCACTAGACATGTTCTTTTTCATTAAAATAATATGTCCACACCTGCTGAGTCATTTACAGCTCCTCTCACTGAGGGGCTCATACACAGAAGAGTGCTTTTGCATCTGATAGACCTCTACAAATAAGACGCCATGCATTTCTCAAAGGTGACATGTCCTTACTGCCCTGCCAAGCAAGTAGCTTCTTGATGCTCCTGCTATTCACACATATATTTACATTTGATTATTATCAAACATTTACAAAAACATGTGCCCATTTTATGCATGCAAATCCAGTCCACCTCACAAAGATTAGTCTGGCAATCTGAAACCATTTGGACTTTTACAGCCTCTCTGAAATAACATCCTGAATTTAAAATCCAGTTTAGCTGCACTCCAGATTAAGACATGTCAAAGAATTA